ATGCATATAGAGTGGAATAAATATTGAGGAGATATATATACACACATATGCTCTCTGTATGTGTGTATATATCTCTCCTCAATCTTTATTCCACTCTATATGCATCCGAAGAAGTGGGCTGTAGTCCACGAAAGCTTATGCTCTAATAAATTTGTTAGTCTCTAAGGTGCCACAAGTACTCCTGGTTTTTTTGTAACCTATTAGTTGTTCTGCAATTTCATATTTGAGTTTCTTCAGGACTCTTGGGTGAATATATGCTGTTGATTTATTACTGTTTAATCTATCAATCTGTTCCAAAACCTCCTCTTATTGGATGCCTCAACCTGGGACAGTTCCTCAGATTTGTCATCTAAAAAGAATGACTCAGGTATGAGAATCTCCCTCACATCCTCCGCAGTGAAGTTTGATGCAAAGAATTCATTTAACTTATCTGTTACTGACTCCATTATTAATTAATCTGTACAAGTGCTCGTCTTCAGAAAGGGCCAAAGCCTTTAGACATCAGTCATTTTGCAAAGCGATCAAATTAAAAAGCTTTACCTGTTCGTAAGAGTACTTCTGGTGCAATGTAATTAGGTGTGCCAACAAGTGAATGTGCCAAACAACGCTGATGCTGACGCGCTGCCCTACGCTCAAGTGGCTTAAGCCTGTCTCCACATCTGCAGTTTGCTGGATCACCCCATTCATTACTGAAATCCATGCTGTCTTGACGTGAATGGTCACCTACAATATAAAAATGAAATATTGTGGGTTTTTAACTCCTTAGTTGGGGTTCGCAACTAAGACCAGTTTCTCTCCAAATTCTTTAACATTCCTTTTTATGAAGAACACTCTCTACTCTAATGAATACTTTAGTAGTATTTTAAAATAAAAATCATTAAAAGTGAACTTGTAAAGAACTTAGAATATTGAGCTTGTGTGCTTTTTTTGCTTATGATGTAAAAGAATGCCTGAAAGTTGAGTTATTTTCTGTTTGTTAAAAATTGATTTTTTTGCATAACAAGTAATAGGAAATGTCAATTCTGATCTTTCCTAGTTTTGCTGCAGAACTTGTTGGAAGTATAGGATGTATACGGTTATTTCTCTCATCTGCAGTGAAGGAGGGCCGTCTCCAAAATATCAATCACTGTAGCTAAATATGTGCTTAAAAAATAGAAAGTTTTAAACAGTCTGATTAAAAATCTTACCTATCACAATTGTTCAACTTTCACTCTCTTGCCTTATGTAATGTCATCCCTCTTGCTACTTCTCCAATCACCATAAAATATACCAGGCTAAAGAGGAACTGAATTTCTAGTGTAAACACAAGCCAAAAAAGTGGGTTTTGAAAATAATCTATTGAAGAAAAAAGGTACAAGCCCAATTTTCATTTAATTCTTTGCAGGTTACCTATAAAAAAAAATAACCATAAAACGAGGAAGGAATCCAGATACTGCCACTTGAAGAACAAAACGAAAAATTATCTTTGCTATAAGCTTCCCGCAGCTACCCTGAAGGCATTAAATAAACTTAAATCTTTTTTTTAAAAGAAGCTTAATTAGTGAATTTCCACATAATTGCAGAAAAGGGATGAAGAATTGTAGATCTTGGGTAAAATTGTCAAAAGCATCCACATGACTTAGGCTCCTACGTCCCATTTTCAAAAGTGACTTAGGCCTGGTCTACACAGAATTTTTGCACTGATATAACTATTTCAGTTAGATTTTTTTTTTTTACCAAAATAGTTATATCGGTACTACTTCAAATGTGCACGCTGCTATATTGGTTTAGCTTATTCCATTTCCCTTATGGGTATTAAATTCTAACTTTTTTTATGTCATGTTCATCTTTCTACTCATATTATTATTCATGAATTAGATAACAAAAATAGTTTCTTACCACTCTGATAGTATTTGGAATCATGCGTCCATCGAAAACCTGTACAAAGCCCGAAGTCAGTCAGTTTAATATGACCATCACGATCAATCAAAATGTTATCTGGTTTAATGTCTCTGTGAATGAAGCCCATCTTGTGAACACTTTCAACTGCACAGGTCAGCTCTGCTATATAGAACCGTGCCAGATTTTCTGGGAAGACACCCATTCTAATTAATAGGCTCATCATATCACCTCCTGGAATGTAATCCATTACAAAGTACAAATTGTCCTTATCTTGGAATGAATAGTACAGGCGAACCACCCACTCATTGTCAGCCTCTGCAAGGATATCCCGCTCAGCTTTAACATGAGCAACTTGGTTCCGAAGCAGCACATCTTTCTTCCGCAGGGTTTTTGTTGCATATAAAGCATTAGTGTCCACTTTCCTTGCTAGACAGACCTCTCCAAATGCCCCAATGCCTAGAGTCTTAATTTTTACAAACATTGATTTGTCCATTTTAGCCCTTTTGAGACGAATGTAGTTAGATTCCTTCTGGCACAGCATTTTTCTCATTTGATCCTGGGCATCTTGGGACAACCCAACCTATGTAATGAAGTTAAATTTCACAAGTGAAAAACACTTCTCTTTGTGGTGATCATCATACATTTAGAAGGTTCAGGCAAAGTAAAGTAAAAACTTACATGTAAAATGAGGAGTAATACTTCAAGTTTTTTCCCTCACACACATTAGGTCTCTATAAACCCTTAAGGTTGAAACAACCAACCCTCCCCCCCCCCACCACACACACAAAATGTGCAATCTAAGGGACAGTTATAACAACAATTTGCACAAGGTGCCATGCACCACCATGCTCTTGATTAAGGGAGCCATTTTTGGGAACGGACTAGGATGGGAGAAAGACAAGCTGATGGTGGTTGCCTTTCATGTCCTCTGTAGAAAAAAACGGACTGTAGGGCAGGATTGTGTATCCTTCACAGAGATGTTCCCACATGGGAATACGTCCCTTACATATTAACAACTGTACAGATTTGTCCATGATTCTCTGCATACCTAACTTTTACTTGATTCGCTGCATTAATGGAGTCATTACTTGCTTGATTCCTGACACAATTAACTGAATGTATTGCTCTGTAGATTTTCCAATTAGTTATCCACTGTTTGATGACTAATTCTTTGCATACTTATTTGTTTTTGCATAACTATTTCCATTTGTCTCTTAATTAAAGGTGGCCTTCCAAGGCTTCTGTCCTATTTTGCTTCTTATGAAATATAAAGGCAAAATGAAAAGTGGTTCTGCTTGTGTTTTTACATTAAAAAGACAAGTCTTGTCTATCATGGAAGACACTATAGTGGCTGGAGAACTAATGAAACTATCAAATAACAGAAGCCAAGATAGTAAAAGGTGAGCAATTGAGAGGAGAGAAGATTTTCAGTCAGGGTGTTTAATATTCTTGTTTTAGTTAATTACTGTCTAACGCAAATGACTAATTGATATTTTGATAAAGGGTATCTTTGTTGAAGATTCTACGCCATCTTTTTAAGGAAGGTATTAGACTTCACAATAAACATCCTCTGGAACCCTAAAGAGATCCCATATAAAGACATGAAAAACCAAAGTTGATACTTCTGATATTTCTCAGGCAGAACACATGCACAATAATTGTTTTTAAACCATTTAGGCCATCTTTAAATTCAGAACAGCAAAATAGGACACAAGACCTTTTTTTTTTTGCCAACACACTTGTTCAGGTCATATTTGGTTACATAATTCATTATTTTATTGCCTTTTCTGATTCCCAACTCGCTTAAGCAGTGTGATCTAGTGGATGGGTCACTTGACAGGGACTAGGGAGCCTTGGGCTCTATTCTGGCCTCAGCCACTGGCCTGCTGGGTGACTGAGCAAGTCACTCTCTCTCTCTCTCTCTCTGCCTCAGCCTCACCATCTGTAATGGGAACGATGCTGATAAAAAGCACTATACAAGGATTATTAGTCCTCCATCTCTCCATACCTCCCTTCTTTTCTCAAGAGCTCTTCCTTCTCTCTTTTGGTGATTTCATCTGCAATTCCATGACTTCAATAATCTTTATAGCAATGACTTGCAAATTCAATTCTGGATTTCAGATTCTCTGACATTTTCTTCTGGATAGCTCAATCAGTTTAAACTGAATTTCTAAGCTTACCTCCCAATCTCTTTGCAACACCCTCCATAATGTTACTAGAGAAAACAGCACCAGCATTCAGGCCCATAATCTAGAGGTCTTCCACTCCTCCCTTTTTCATTACTTATTCATTCAGGTGGTACCCAAATCTTGCCATTTCTACCTCCATAACATCTCAAAATATTAAAGTTAATATTTGTACTGTAGTAGCATCTAGAAACTGCAATCTGTATTAGGGAACCAATATTCTGTATGAACACATGGTAAGAGACAGTCCCTACTCTGACTACCTTACAGTCTAATTTGAGACAAAATAGGCAAACAAAAAGAAGGAAGAAATGAGGGAGAACAAGAACAACAGAAATCATGGTTACATAGGTAGCTACTTAATGATCCCTGAAGGCACTTTTTGTTTTAAAAAGAAAATCAACTAGCCAACTGGCATACACCAGACCATAGCAGATTTCTTACAGGCATCACAGCAACAGTGGGTCTCAAGCAGAGATTTGAAAATTTGACCTTGTGTCTGTCCATATAACAAAAAAATCTGGTGCAGTCCTCACCATCTCCAGGCTTGACTACTGCAGCCTCCTCCTCTGTGGCCTTTGAACACCCATGATGCTCTCCTTTGGCTCCATCAAAACACTGCCAAGATCATATTCTTTGCCCATCAGTCAGATCATTCCATCCCCTCTAACCTCAGTGTATTAGCTCTCCCTCCTCCATGGCATCAAATTTAAGTGTTTTGTCCTTATCGCCAAGAACCTCCAAGCCTCTGCTCTCCACTAGCCTTATCTCTTCATGTTGCTTGCCAACCCCTTTGCTCCATCAAAAATCTCAGCATTAATACCTTATTTATCTTCTTTCCCTCCAAAAGACCTACACACTTTCCTCCACGTCACTCACACTGTACCTCAAACACCCTTTCTGAGCTGATCTGCGAAGTCCCCTCCTTCTTCTTATTAATATTGCTTTTAGGACCCACTTCTCTGATGGCTACAAGAAATTAACCTATAAATCTATTATTTTTAAATTATATATGTACACATACATACACTCCATACTCCCACACAAAATACTCCATTCTCTTTACTCCATGCCTTGCACTAGCCCTTGCTGAATAGCCATGTGATCTCATTGACATCACCTCTATTTTCCTTCCCTATGGTCTTGTTACTCCCTACATCATAACTAATTTTGTTTTCACACTCTTCAGGGCAGAAATGTTGTGTGTGTTCTGGGAGGTGCCCCGCACCACTTTTAGCGCCGTTAGACAGAATAAGATAATAGAAGCAAGTGCATACCTCCAAAATACATTACTACTCCACCTGTGAGACAGCTGCTCCACACCCCAAAACCCCAGTTCTCTCCACTAAGCACCTTCCTTTAGTCACCTGCCCTCTCACCAGGGAATATACACTGGCTGAAACATTTTGGTGGCCCTTTCCCCTCAACTTCCTGCAGAAGGAGAGAAATGAGGAAATCCACTCCTGGTTTAATCCTCTTAACTCTCCTGCAAATAAAGACGAAAAAATACTAGAGGAGACAAATGGCCATCAAGTTTCACTTCTTCTCTTCCTACTCAAGATGTAAGGTGAGTTGGCCTATTCCTGTCAGATTTCTCTCCTATTGTGTACTAAAGGGAGCAGCTTCTCCTACGACACTCCATTTTTCACCATCCAACCCCCCAAAAAGACCCTCCTTTTGAATTAAACACATTTTATGTGAATTGAGTACAATTACCATAAAATATATTTAGTGTAAGAAAGCTAATAAAATTTTGATTTTAATTGACTATGTTAAGCATGCAGGGGGAAAAAATCATTACCATTAAGAGGGATATGTGTCAACATAAGTAACTGTGCTTACACCGTTGCAGAGCACACTCAATAAAATGCTCCAAATAAGAAATGGAAGTGAGGTTTGCAAATCAAAATTAGTTATGATCTTGCACTTAAGTACCCAAACGTAATATAAAAAAATACATCAACTTCATGCTTTAGTTTTGATGCAGGTATACATGCAGAGTCCTTTGGAAAGGGTTCATGCTATTCTTAATATAATACTGTTGCTCCAAAGTCTTACTTGCCCACACAGTAATGGAGGCTATAGAAGTCAGCAAAGCTTCCAACACCTTAAGAGTTTAAATCAGCTGTTAGTGAAAGTGAAAAGGAAAAAGAAGACTAAGAATAAACATCTAGAGAGACTTCCAGGAATAAATCTTATTTGCTAACATTTAATTATGTTGTGATTAAGTAGACACTTATATAAGAATACAGTTTAAAGCAAGATTTTTTTTTAAGAGCAGGAGAGTATGGATTTTGAAATGTCGTCTCAGTCAAGCAAAAAAAATTTTTTTCAGTTAAAGGTATCAATTAAAAAAAAAACCACTTTTGTATAAAATTCTGTTACCTACTATTATTCCCAGAAAAACTAAGATTACAAGTAAAACCTAAGATTATTATAAAAATCATAGATAATATTTTATCTGTATTTTCTTGTTTTAATGTGGGTGTTTCTCAATGTTTTCTATAAAGTCAGTTTCACTGTTTCCCCTGTTGTGTGGGTCTTTATATAGCAACAAGGAAGACAAAGTTTTAGTATAAAATGCGACTGTAAAAACACAAATTGGGAATCAGATACATCATCTAAAGCCAGTTTTTAAATAAAAAGCAGTCTTTTTAAAAAAAAAATTCAATTAATAGAACATGTACTCTTGGGCCAGTGCTAGATAAAAGAGTATAGGCTTTACAGAACTGTGGCATTTTTGTTGCTTGCTGCAGTGTTTTAAAGTGGAGATTAAAATGAGTTTTAAATTCCCTACCCAAGGTTCAGTTAATATACACCTTTACCCGATATAACGCTGTCCTCGGGAGCCAAAAAAAAAAAAATCTTACTGCATTATATCGAACTTGCTTTGATCCAGCGGAGTGCGCAGCCCCACCCCTCCGGAGCACTGCTTTACTGCGTTATATCCGAATTCGTGTTATATCGGGATAGAGGTGTTCTATGGTGGCCCAACCCTGCATTCCTTGTGTACCCAGAACTCTCACAGATTTTGCACAGTATGAAAGGACTATGGAACAGAGGATCAAACCCTCAGTACATATAGCGAAAGCTGAGTAGACTATTTAGAACAACATTTTTAGAATGAAATTTCCTGGACATATACAATCACACAATGGTGTCAAACTGGTGAAAGTGAAGGGAATAATCATTCTTTGGGGCTCTATATGGAGACTTTAGCCAGCCCTATTACCATTTCTTCCTAAATTGCATCTACAAAAATCTTTAATAATACTTAACTGTGACAATTTTAACAAATAGTTTCCCCCAAATCAGCATTAATATCATCAATGATAAAAACCTGGGAGCCATGCAGCTAAGCCCAATGCAAGCTTCAATAAATTTTCTAAAGGGAGGAAAGGGATTACCTAAACAAATACTGAAAGGCTGGCTGCTTCTTAAACGTGTGGTCAAACTAAAAATGAACTTCAAATACCAAAAGATACTACAGCTGCCCACACAATTGCAGTATAATCAAGAAACCTGTCTAGATATGCAGTTTTTAAAAATGTATACCAACAGCTAAAGTAGTTCCATTCAAATATTAAAGAAAATAAAGGTTTTACCCGCATCATTTCATTCTCTAGTTGTTTCTTACGATGCAATCGTTGCTGATGAGACTTGAGTATGTTTTCCACATGTTGCTCCATGAAGAATTTAAAGGCCTGAGGAGAATAGCTTTGAATGCGAGACTCCCTTCGCTCTTCATCTCTCTTATTTTTCCTAACAGGAACAGGTGAGGTTGTTATTTGTTTTTTTCTTTATCTGTCCCATCAACACATTCATTACTCTTTTCACTCTCTTCTTCCTTAGATAAACTGGAATGATCTTCTTTGCTAGGTTTGGTTCCTGTCTCATATGGACTGACAGATGGATTCTGGTGTAGCAAGTGTTTTGGGTAAGGTGGTGGAGGACCTTGGTAATTTGGAGCTTCTGCAACAGGTGACATGACCGCCATGTTGGTAGATGGACTCTCAGAGAAGGGGACTGGTTGGACAGCTTGCATTGGCTGTGGCATCCAAGAAGGATGAGTTGGTGCTAAGGCAGTCTGCAGCTCTGGCTTTAATACTCGCATACTTTTTACTGGCTGCTGAATGGGAGCTGGGGTTATAGCTGTTACTGTGGTGGCTGAAGGCTGAGAACTGCTAGAGTGACTCTGTCTATTTCCATGAGGGTTATTGAAAGAATTTGATCTTACTGGAATGTTGGGTTGCCATGTAGGGATTTCATGTCCACTGCCAGGTGGTGATTGGGGTGGAGCAGATGAAGGCTGTGACCAGGACATTGGTATTCCAGGTAGATTTATATTGTAAAGTTCCATGTTGTGGCTGTTTCTATTTGGCACCATCATGGACTGAGGAATATTTCCATTGGTGTATGCTGAAGGAGGAACAGATCCTCCTGCTTGCATCTGCAATGCTGTAGGACTTTGCCTGTTAGTTGGGGATATTGGGTACGGAGGGGGTGGCTGACGATTGACCGAGTTCCCAGATACAACATTCTGATGAACCATGAAATCAGTCTGACAATTGCCATTTTGCATTCCAGCTCTTCCTGATGGAAAACTAAACTTGCTATTGGCAGAACTCTGCATGATTATTGGTTGCCTGCCAAGTGGAACAGAATTAATGCCTCTTTGTCCCTGCGTAGAAGAACTTATGGGTGACGGATTCATTGGTGGGGGCGGATAGCCATCCTGCCATGCTCCTGGTGGTACTGGAGAAATGCGAGAGATCATATATTCCATGCTTCCAGAATAACGTTTTGTTTGAGCATTTGGTTCCCAGGAAGGAGGTGGAGGAGTTGTTCCCCTTGGTGGAGGAGTCTGCCCTCTTGGAGGTGGAGGAGGGGGAGTAACACTCCTTACTTGTGGTGGAGGTGGTGGATTCACTCTTTGTCCATTGCCAGGATGAGCCTGAGCAAATGCTGCTAATCCAGAACCAGATAAGGGCCTTCCTACATCTGACTGAGAACTTGGACTTTCTGAACGATAAGCTACACTATCTCCCAATGGAGGGCCATGTCTCTGAGGTACCAAGGACTCTTTAGAACCTTTCCAGCTCTGTTTGCGGTTAACTGATTGCTGCACACTACCTGCTTTTACAAAAGAAAAAAAAAAAGCACAGCATTTTATATTTGTTAAAAAAAAAAAGAAAAGCAGCTCTACTTGCAGCTTGCAATATTTTACTACTATTCTAATTCAGTTACTTTTCCTTTTTTGGCAGTTACCTTACTGCTATGAAGTAGATAATAAATTTTAATGTAAGCCACAGTAAGTCACATGACTGATTTGCGACTAATCGGAAAGGAAGCTATAGAACTATTTCTAGCATGGAAAAGCTGAGCAAAGAAAAATGTATTGACCTACATTTTACATAACATTGATGATATAAACATTACATCAAATCAATCTTATAAAGTGACAACTCAGTGATGTACTTGAGGGGTTCATAACCTTTGAGTTAGTCAGCTGAAAGATTGCTAGCACTTGTACACCTGTAAACGGGCATACTAAATTTAAAAAAAATCATGCACTTAACAGTTTAATCTAAGTATATTATGTTCCTTGTATGCAAAGTTCTGTTCATCAAAAGGTTTTGTTTTAAATCAGTCTGAAAGATACTATACGTTTGTAAGTGTAAGATAAGACTGCATACATGCAAAATTTACAATGACCATCTCTCTGTTGAATTCTTAAAATTTAACTCCTTTAAGAATTACATAGCAATCTTTTATTGGAGGTACCAGAAAGTAATTACAAGACAGAGACATTATGTCATATGAACAGGGCAATTTTGCGTTTAATTTTGAAAGTTTTCATTTTTTACTGTCACTGCTGCAAATCAACATTTTTTCCATAAATGAAAAATGGGTAAATTGTGATAAATTGTACAAGTAAGAATGAAAGTCATGGCTAAATTCCAGTATCCCACCAAAAGCTTTGTACAAATTCTAGTTAACTCAATTTAACAGGTTGAAAGATAGTGGACTGAAAATGAAAGACCTGTTTTACTTTGCTAGTGGTTTTTTTATGTTATTTTCTTGTACATAACATAACAATTTTACTATAATTGCACAGAAATTAAGTGACATGACTCCCAAATTTAAGAAATGAATGAAAAGTATTCAACACAGGAAACGAACACTACAATTAGAGGTCTGAACGTGATTACTTATGTATGATGTTGAAAACATAACCTAAAAGCTTGTTATAAACTAATGTCAAGTACTGTCATTTAAGTGGATTACTTTATAAATTATACTAACAAATTTCACCATTTTCAAGAAAAATGGTATTTCAACCTCCTATTTAATTGTTAAAGTTTATGCTTCACTTCCCCTCCATTCCCCAGTTGAGAGTGCATTAATTGAAATGTTTGGCTAATTTATGATTTCTTCCTATAAGAAAAATACATATTGGATACACATACCTGGTGGTTTCATGCCTGCATTAACAGGTCTGGCTGCTGCTGCAGCCATCTGCTCTCGACGAGGATCTTGGTAGCTCATTTTACTTATGAATTCAATTGCTGCTTCTATACTACGGCTGTTAGTTTGCCTAAGAGCTCGTACAACCATATCCTAAAGGGAAAATTAAGTTTAAATATTTTATTTCATTTTTAAAATTAACAGAAGAAAAAGAGTCAAAAGCACCAACAGCTGAGATTTTCAAAGCACTGCAGGGGAATTTTGCCACACATTTTTCATTAATGTTAATAGAAAATGCATGGCTAAATCTCACTGACAGATTTATAAAATCTCAAAGCATCTCCCGGAGTCAGAAAAACTGTAGTTAAATCTCACACTGCCAAGATGCCCAGAAAAAGTTAACATGTTAGAGTCTCACTTTAGTGTATCTACTGTGCTGTCTGAATCTCAGAATTACTGTTGTTACAATTTGTTTATGTGCCTATGTATTACTGAAAGACAGTAACCTCTACACAATTAACGTTGCAACCAGCTTCCAATATGAGGCTCTATTTTTAGCCCCCACTGAAACTTTCAAAATAGCTAAAAACTGTATGGCTGAAAATCAACTGATTTATTACAAAAGCAAAGGAGATAATACATTACAGGTTACAAAAAGTACTCTGATTTGCAATTCTGAATTTTGACCTTTTACTGTTACTTCAGCATTAACTCTGAATCTCCTTATACATTAATGCACTGACTATATTGGAAGAAATAGGCTGACATCAAGTAACATTAAAAGTCTTTGACGAGGTCCCTCACCAAAGGCTCTTAAGCAAAGTAAACGGTCATGGGATAAGAGAGAAGATCCTCTCGTGGCTCGTAACTGATTAAAAGACAGGAAACAAAGGGTAGAGATAAATGGTCAGTTTTCAGAATGGGAAGTGGCTCCCAGGGACCTGTACTGGGCCCAGTGCTGTTCAACATATTCATAAATTATATGGAAACCGGTAAACAGCGAGGTGGCAAAGTTTGCAAAGTATAAAAAATTACTCAAGATAGTTAAGTCCAAAGCAGACTGCGAAGAGTTACAAAGGGATATCACAAAACTGGGTGACTAGGCAACAAAATGGCAGATGATATTCAGAATTGATAAATGTGAAGTAATGCACATTGGAAAACACAATCCCAACTATACATACAAAATGATGGAATCTAAATTAGCTGTTACCACACAAGAAAGAGATCTTGGAGTCATTATGGATTGTTCTCTGAAAACATCTGCTCAATGTGCAGCTGCAGTCAAAAAAGCTAACAGAATGTTAGGAACCGTTAGGAAAGGGATAGACAATAAGACAGAAAATGTAATGCCACTATATAAATCCACAGTATGCCAAAACCTTGAATACTTGCATGGAGTTCTGGTTGCCCCATCTTAAAAAAACTATATTAGAATTAGAAAAGGTACAGAGAAGGGCAACATAAATTAATAAAGGTACACAATTTTCATATGAGGAGAGATTAAAAAGTGAGACTTTTCAGCTTGGAAAAGAGACGCCTAAGGGCGGGGATATGATAGAGGCCTATAAAATCATGAATGGTGTGGAGAAACCAGGGTCACCCAATGAAATTAATAGCAACAGGTTTAAAACAAACAAAAGGAAGTACTTCTTTATACACAGCAGTCAGCCTGTAGAACTCATTGCCAGGGGATGTTGTGTACGCCAAAACTGTAACAGGGTTCAAAATAAGTAAGTTAATGGAGGATAGATCCATCAATGGCTATTAGCCAAGATGGTGAGGGATGCAACCCCATGCTCTGAGTGTCTAACTTCTGGACTGCCAGAAGCTGGGAGTGGACCACAGGGGATGGATCACTCGATAACTGTCCGTTCTGCTCATTCCCTCTGAAGAACCTGGCATTGGCCACAGTCAGAAGACAGGATATTGGCCTAGATGGACCATTGGTCTGATCAGGTATGGCCATTATGTTCTTAATTATTTCTGTTGCGAACAGATTTGAGCCCTATTCTCTTACTGATACAAAAGGGATGTTTTTTGCTACTGACCTCAGTGACAGTAGCAACAGACACTTGGGTGGGATTTTTAAAAAGGATAAAGACTTAGGCACTCAATACCCATTGAATTTCAGTAGGATTTGTGTGCCTAACTCCCCTAGACTCCTTTAAAAAACCTTGAACATGTTGCCTTCTACTGACTGGTTGTAGCTTTTTGGAAAAAAGTATAAGGGTCCCTCAATGGGTGACAATTAAGAAATTTTTCCTGTAGCACAAGTAATAGATGCCTATAGGACCAGATGACTACTCCCCGCTCTGCCAAGGTATAGTTCACTGTGGAGCAATAGTAGTTTTTCCATAGCTAAAACTGATTTTGATCTTTCTTGTAACCATCCAAAAAATCCTTATGCTTTTAAAAGTTTAGAATTCAGGCTCATTGACAATTAAAACATCTGATCTTTTTGAATAAATTAAGTACTTTTTGAGATTACAAGATTCCTTTAAAAAAAGGCTTCTTTTTGAAAACACTGACATATCTAACATCTCTGCGCCCCACCAGATGAAATCACACAACATCACAACAATCACACATATAATTTAAGCAGATTTTACCTGATGCAGTGTCACCATTTCTTAAGCCAGGTACAGTAGCACAGTGAAATTTTTTGTAAATGCCAACAGTTTAGATACTGATTTGTGTGATATGCAACAACATTTAACAACAACAAGGATGTAGGAATTTTTTTTAATTGGATATTTGAAAACTAGACACAATTGTCTATCATTAAACAAAATGGAGAAAAGAAAGCAATGGAGAACAGATATTATGAAAACCCCTGTTGTCAATGAGTTCTTTCAGCAACTAAAGTAAATGTACTGAGCTGACGTATCATTTATATGCACTGATGAGCTGAATGCATTTGTATGTCATTGAAGAGCTCTTTTCATAATCTTTCTGTATGGGCAACAATATGGTGATCTCTTAACCACTCCTTCTTTAAGTCTTTGCTAACAACACTATGTGTTGTTAGGTGTACAACTAACAAATATGACACACCAAAACACTCTGCCTAACCTTTAAAGGAAATTAGTGCAAAATACGTTGATTTTTTAATATTAACCTGCAATTACAACTTTTGACATGATCATTATTTTGACTAGTGTGATTATGAATGAACCATTCTACCTTGTTTGCTTATAAGCTATCCTCGGCCTGCTATTAAAAATTTTTGAAACTGTTGGGCCTGAGGTCTGTGCTCATTTTGCATGTGTACTTTTGTGCTCAGGTTTACAAGTGCATGTAAGTGCTACTTACACTTGCCAATACATACACTGCAAATAAACACACACAAAGGTCTCTAAATGTATTAATTCTTTATTCATGGAAACCAGATATTTTGTCAATAAATGACATTACACACTTTCCCATACTAAAGTGAAAACAAGTTCAGCTGGTATTGAAGTAGATGACAGGATTTCAGACAGATGCCTGTCAATCACCTCATCCATGTCTTTATACTGACCAACATAATCCCAACTTTCAAAGACATCATTATGGGACTCTGCTATATAATGTCTACATTTTTTCCTAGAAGACACCACATTGTTGAAGGCATTCTGCACTGTTCTCCTTGCAGTATATTTATTGTACTATCATGATACATTCTTTTGTATAGCTAAGATTGAAGTGTTCAGATGAATAAGACAAATGCAGTTTTTTGTTAATATTCAGCTCAGATAATGAACCATTTCTCTGAATAAGTTGAAGTTATTCATAAATCAGGGCTTCTGAAATACTCATATAAAAAAGAATAAAAGTATTTAAATATTGTCGAGTCACTTACATTTGGTATCCTTGCCTTACTATTCTGAACTGTGTTGTTCTCACAACACATTTTAAACCACATAATCCAAAATTCCATTAAATTACTCTGAGGAGTCCACTCATTTCCACACACAGGGATGTAAATGACTAATCAAACTACTACTAATCTTATAGAAAGAATAGATTACCAGATGTAGGGGAAAAAACATGGGTTATTTTAACATTACCAATGCCCCCCACCCTCTCTTCTTCTTTTTGGCCAGGTCACAGTTAAAAATTAATTTGTATTTCAGGGAAACATTTTGACTATCATGCTACTTACACTCTAAATACAAAAAGGGTAACATACAACTAAAATGTGTGCGCATGATTAATATTCAACAAAAATGCTTACCTCATCAAACCCAGCAGCCTGTAAGTCTTGTAGCATTTGTCGATTGATTTCAGATGTTCCCCTGGCCGAGGAGCTGGTTTCGTTTGCAAAAGGCAGCAGGGAGTTTCGAATTTCTTGCAAAGCTTTATGGTATGTTACAAATTTGGGGGGATTTCGGCCTTGTCTGGGATCTTCAACTGACATTTTACCCATATTGTGCTCAGCCTTAGCAGCATCTGAGGGCTTAGGCAAATTCCTAAGGCTCTCTCGTATTTCTTGTAACATTTGCCGGCTGCTGCCAGTGTAGTTACTAGCAGGAAAAGTCTTAGGCCTCATTTGTCTATATCCTTCCGGCTTCTCACTTCTCTTCATGAAAACATGTATCTATGTAACCTCCACCAAGGATTCAGCCACAAAAATTTCAAGAAAGACTCGTTGGTAGTTTCAGAACTCACTCTTAAGCAAGAGTGAAAACATTCACCATTACTTGTGGTTCCGACAGTGCTGAAATTCTTAACAACCAAGTCAGCCACCCTGTAACAAAAGAACATTCAAGTTACACATGCTGTTAACGGTGAAAAGTTTGCAATTTGCAGGGCATACATATATCATTTCCTCCATATTTACTAAATTCACCATATGCAACTTATCATTCATGCAGTCTTTAACCATTCTAAATTAAAAACTATTTTGGCCTGGCAACATTTAATTAGTAAACAATGTTTTAGTTGCCTCTCAAGTCTAAAGATCCCAAAGTTGGGAGGGATTGAAATCGCATTTATCAAACCTCGGGAGTAAACTTGTCTTACAATTATTGACAATGATAAACACTGCTGATTTTTTTCAAGCAGGGAGTGTACAGCCATCAGTTAACTGCAAACTTAGCCTGCTACAAAAATTAACTGCATGCTTGAGTTATTTTAAACTATGGCCCAAATGTTTAAATCCTGAAATTTGCTTGAATTTAATCTCACTTAGAAGACGAGAGGAAAATATACATAAATTATTTTCCTCTTGACAGTAGTTTATCCTGATCACCGTCCTAACAAGTTGCTTTACTATGCTACTATTTGAAACACATCATATTAGCACAGCTGAAGGATTATCAAAGATCTACACATCAAAAAGAATGTGATTTAATGGACAAAGAATGTAGAGTAGGAATCTGGACTCCTTGATCCTGTTTCCTGCTCTACTCCTACTCAGTGATACCTTGGGTCAAGTCATTTAGCTCTCCATCACATCAATGCACTGAAGTTTGTTCCCCATCATTTCTCCCACCTTTCATTTTATTTAAGGACACTACAGAATTTAATCATAAAACAGATTTTTTTTATGAATATCATCTGCTTCAATTTCCCAGCTAAATACAGATGTCTGATATCAACTTTGCTTGAAGAGAAGTGGGACACAGAAGAGCTCTATGTAAGTTCGAAAGCCTGTCTCTCTCATCAATAGAAGTTGGTCTAATAAAAGATATTACCTTACCCACCTTGTCTCTCTAATATCCTGGGACCAACACGGCTACAACTCTGCAAACAATTTCAAATAGTCTGCCAAGTGGGTGATATTGTAAATACTTCAGTGCAACAGATTGTGTGCTCTTACAGTATCAGAAAAACTGAAATGTATTTAAATTAGCAAAAGTGAATTCAATAAGGTAAACTGTTTCAAAAGAAACATTTTTCTCAGTTTTATACAAAATGATAACGCTACAAGTTCTCATTAAATATAATTTTCAATCAAAATTTTAACAATAGTTTATATGTTGGTTTGAGTTAGCATGAATAACTGTACTTCTTGCATGCCTAGACAAACCACACAAGTTGGTTCTGATACCACCTTTCTTATACCCTCTTTATAATGCACAACATATGCCTGAATATGAGAATAATGTACAAGAATCATCATTTTTTAAGATCCCAAATGAATGCCTTACAAAACCAAGTAAAAATAGTCTGCTGTGTACAGGTCTAACATGACAAAAATTGGTATCAAACAGACAAGTTGGGGAAGAAAACAATGGAAGAGGAAGGATGGTGACACTAATAAGGCTGTGAATTGAAAACATACATACAAACTTTAATGGCTCTTTATTTTTAGAATGTTAGTCATAGATTTTAAGGTCAGAAGGGACCATTAGGATCATCTAAGCCAGGGGTAGGCAACCTATGGCACGGGTGCCGAAGGCGGCACACAAGCTGATTTTCAGTGGCACTCACATTGCCCGGTCCTGGCCACCGGTCCAAGTGGCTCTGCATTTTAATTTAATTTTAAATGAAGCTTCTTAAACATTTTAAAAACCTTATTTACCTTACATACAATAGTTTAGTTATATATTATAGACTTATAGAAAGAGACCTTCTAAAAATGTTAAAATGTATTACTGGCACGCGAAACCTTAAATTAGAGTGAATAAATGAAGACTCGGCACATCACTTCTGAAAGGTTGCCGACCCCGATCTAATCTGTCATCCTGCATAACAGAGGCCAAAACCTCATTCAACAAATTCTACACCCAGTCCATCATTTTTGTTAGAACTATAGTCTCCTTTTAGAAAGATATACAGTCCTGATTTAAATATGGCATGTAATGGAGAATCCGTTACATCCCTAGGTAAATTGTTCCAAGTGTTACAATCTTTCCTCCTCCATCACTTCTTGTAATGGGGCATGTGATGAAATACTCTTAAAACTTCACAAAGAGTAACTAACAGTAAAATGACTGGTTTCAGAGTAGCAGCCGTGTTAGTCTGTATCCGCAAAAAGAAGAACAGGAGGACTTGTGGCACCTTAGAGACTAACAAATTTATTAGAGCATAAGCTTTCGTGGACTACAGCCCACTTCTTCGGATGCATATAGAATGGAACATATATTGAGGAGATATATGGATATATAGGAGTAAAATGACTATATTTACAGAAAACTACTTCCGATTATAAAACCAATGATGGGGTAGGCAGGTATGTTTCTCTTACAAGCATTACAGCTGATGCGGGAGAGGGATAGTAGAAGTGCCAAACACTTGCAGCTCCCACTGTTGTGAATGCTCAGCACCTCTTAAAAACAGGCCAACTAGTTTTTAGTTCTGCGGTAGGATCTTCACCATTGATTTTACCCACCTTGTGCATAAAACCGAACATTTGCCTGCATTTGCCATACTAGTGACAGCTACAGTAGTTTCCTATACTGTTTCCATTCCAACCCTGTTTTCACGTGCTCTTAAACTTCTACAAATGTCACCCCTACGTTCTCCCATGCCTGGTCATTGTCACAAATTCAGCCATTTTGGGGATGAGGAGAATCCGGGGGGGGAGGGTGAAATAAATAAATTCAAAAAAAGGTTTTCCTGTTGTAAAAATATTTTAATTTGAAGAAAAAGTTAACTAACATCAAGTCACTGTGGGTAGAATCATGAAATATGGCATGGAAATAATCCCCAATGAGAGATGCCTTTGAATGTTCTTGTAAAAGAGGTTTTTGGTTTTGATGGAATTTTGGCTCATTAAGGAAACAAATTACACTGTATACACAGAGTAAGCTTTTAAACCAAGCTCATAAGGTGTGCACCGCTAAGGAAGACCATAGTGGTTAACTTGTGTTGTAAAAAGTTTGAGGTGGTGGAACAAGACAAGCAGAGGTGTGCGGAAACACAATGGACCCCTGCTTCACTCAGAATGCCTCTTATAAAGTAAAACCCATGCAGCTCCGAAGGCTCCCCAGGAAAGGAACTCCATCCTACCAACAAAGTAAGGTGCAAGGAATGGGGCATTCTTGTGATGTCTTCCTTTTTTCTTTATTGGCAACTTGAAGAAAACAAGGGCACAAATCCCCTTTTTCTTTATTACATGTAAAGATGGCCTGAAAGTGCTGCATTGTGACCGCCCAAAAAAGATTTTCTGCTTTTTTATCATCTTAGAAATATCAACAATGCCAAACCTTCTCGATATAGTTTTGCTGGATGCTTTCCTTGGAAGACCCAGACGCGTGGAAAGGGCACACTCTCATCCCGAAGTTAAAGAGACAGGATGTAGACAAAAGCCTTTGTCTTATCAGGCATTTGAGTTAAACTGGTATATGTAAGTACTTTTAAACGGTCTGCATAACAATTACTCTCTCTCTCAATCCGGTTTTAATTTTTATGATCTCTCTTATGTCATAAACCTTTAGTTGTTCATGCTATTTTAATACAATATATAATCAATTTTTTTTGTAGTCTTGTAATATGCTCTTTTATGCTGCTCAGTGAATAAGGCACAAATCTTCAGGTATATACTTCCAGAGACTGCCAGGCATATATAAAATATTACAAGATGCTACATGTTTGAATATAAATTGTAAAAAAAAAACCCCAACAACCCTGTATAATATCTATTAGAGAAATAGTATGGAATTATATAAAGAGTTATAATACATATAGGCAAGAGAACATAGTTAAGCTTCTCTGTGCAACCTTAAACTCTTAAGTCAGGAAATGTAAAAGTTAACTGCAACTTTAACATTAAAAAACTTCAAAAAGTCAAAAGTTTAATAAAGAAGTAGTTGAAGTGAAATATGATAAAGCAAAAAGTGTGCAATGAGTTATTAAAAAGTGTTTAAAATCATTATGCTTAGATAAACTGATTTTTGTTCTTTATTTAGCTTTATTTTTTATTGCTTTTAATGTGTGAAATGTGACTTCAATGAGAGTGTTTGACTAAAAACACATGTCCCAAAGAAAGATGAAGGCAAGGGTAATTTATTGCCAATTTTAAGTGGGACTTGTTCTTGCTTGGCCAACATAATGGAGAAGGAAGTTTTTCTGTCTCCAAGAGATTGCATTAACAGCTATAAAGAATAATTGGCTACAAAAGTGAACATGGAGTTACATTTTAATAGTACTGGAAAAAAACACCAGAAAGAAGGTACTCAGGGGGTGTAAACTTATTCAAGACCCCATTCAAAATTATCTGTAAGACTAGATGGCTCAGAAGATTAGTAACAACAAAACATTTAGGTTACTGATTAGAATACAGTTGAATCTGGTAGCACCCAGAAGTAATTACTATCTGACCACTACTACGTAAGCTACTTAAAATGAGTTTGTCAGTCCACACTATGATAGATAGACAACCACTGAAGTTAATCTGACTACATATTTTCCAAGGAACAATGCCCACTGAAGGAATTTTCCTATATAAAATTTGCATACCCCTGTAATTATGGGGAAAAGGGGAGCGTGAGGGGGAAAAAGTTGCTTTGCACTCTTATGCTTTTCCATAATATTGTTTGGTGCTTAGATCTCGAGGGGATAAGCATCTTTTAAATATCTAAGCTAAACAGACTTGCCACCCCTGAAAGGCTCCGTGGTCAAGTGGATAGGGCACTTAACTGGGAGTCAGGAGACTTGGATTCTATTCTGTTTGACAGTTACTTATGTGGCCTTTGGCAAGCCACTTAACTTTGTGCGTCAATTTTCCCCATCTATAAAATGGAGATAATTATAATTACCTTCCTTTGTAAACTGCTTTGAGATCCTCAGATGAGGAATGCTATGTAATAAGTGTTACATACAATGTATTGTTTTCTTGATGGTTTCAGCAAGACAGACCAAAGACCAATGGGCTTGAAAACTGAATTGCTTTGAAGCCAAATTGAGTTGGTTCCTCAACTGAGATTGTCCCTCTATCTTAGGGAAGTATGAGGAAGCAAGTATTGCCACAGACTGCGATATACCTGTTCTGTGTACAGGGAACCGCAAATCCCAAGGCTGTCAATTCAT